AAAGCAATGTTATGGATTATGGACTCATATTTTAGCCAGAAGCGATGCTTTAAAGTTAAAAGCGTCTTAATGCTGGATTTGTTTCAGCTTTTGTCTTCTCCAGATGTTAACTGATGGACTGGAGTGCTGTGGATTACTTGTGGATTATTGTGATGTTTTTATCAGCTGTTTGGACTCTCATTCTGACGGCACCCATTCACTGCAGAGACACTGATGCAATGCTACATTTCTACAAACCTGATGAAGAAACAAACTCATCCTAATCTCGGACGGCCTGAAGGTGAGGACATTTTCAGCAAATCAATAAATAAGTATTTTCTTGTAAAACAAGAAAAAACAAGTTTATTCTCCAATAAACTTTGTTTGGGAAAAGCTGCTCTGATGTCTGGTTGATTTAGTTTTTTGAATAAAACCAGTTGTTTTAGACGTTACCACATGAAAGACATTTAAATACTAAAATAAAAAATCAGCATATTACTCATACTTATAAAGCCTTTATGTGTTTTCTCTTTTTTTACCACATTGAGCCTTAAAATCAACACTCACCACTCATTTTACTTCTGTAAAATGACATATTTCCAAAATTGCGAAAGATCACAGTTATTTTGAACAGCTTAAACAGAGTAAAACAAATTACAAGGTAATTGTGACGTCATAATTTCACGTTTATTTCATCCAGTTATGACTACATTGGTTGTAATTGTCACTTTATTTCACAATGTGAATTTATTTCTTACTTTAAACTTTATATTACAATTACCTTTTTTAAATCGGAGAAGGAAACAGCTTTCCATCCACACACTGAAGAAACAAATCACTCAGAAATTTCTTTTAAATTTGAATATTAATTATAAAGAAACGCCAAGTAATACATTAAACAGAAAACACTGAAATAATATTTTCTAGTAAATCAAACAAATATTATTGGAGTATGTTTTACAACTAAAAAAAAACATTTTTTACAGTGTAGAGAAGGATCACAAGTAACTGAAATAGTAAGCAAGAATAGAATTAGTGCAAATTGCCTGAGGGTGCACATATAATGTACTATTTCTGAGGTTTTTTTTTTACTAATATTGCATATGAATTTAAAAATAACATTTCTACCATCATTTATTCACTGTATATTCACAATGAATTTTATTCACCTATAAAATTATCGTTTCGTCTAAAAAATAGTTCAAATGAACATATTTAGCATTTGAATATGGTCTTTCTTTTTTTTCATTAAAGAAATGTCTACATTGCATGTGAATACATGTGAACAGAATATTTTGGCCAAAAAGCCACTCATCGTGAAACGCAACCTACAAACAGGAAGGAAGTAAAAGGCTACATCACTGGACCACATTCTCGAGCCATGTGAGAAAACAGTCCCACTGACGGTTTGCGTGTGACGGCTCAAAAACCCCCACAATGTCAGAATGACCACAAGAAAGCAAACACCACCAGAGCCCTAGAGCTACAAGAATGTGAGTGCACTCAACAGTGAACAGGAAAAGAGGAGCCTGGCATAGTACAGTATTGAGGTTAATATCATGATGTTTGAGGCCTACCTGCAGTCTGTGTGGGAGGGCCGGTGATAAAACGGAGGAGCTTGCTGTTCGTACTTGGCCTTTGCCGCTTCATTCCCCATAGATGTGATAAACTAGAGGAAGAGAATGCATGGTTTACAGGCACAATATTAAACAAATAGATGACACTTTCCAATATTTGTTAACGTTAGTTAACATGAACGAACAGTGAGCAATACTTCCATAGCATTTATTAAAAGAACAGTTCACCCAAAAATGAAAATGTGCTTTTTTTTGTATTTGTTTCTTCATCAGGTTTGTAGAAATGTAGCATTGCATCAGTGTCTCAGCAATGGATGCTCTGCAGTGAATGGGTGCCGTCAGAATGAGAGTCCAAACAGCTGATAAAAGCATCACAATAATCCACAAGTAATCCACAGCACTCCTCGGATGGCCTGAGGGTGAGGACGTTTCCAGCAAATTTGAAATTTTTTGATGAACTATTCCTTTAATCTTATCTAATGTTAATCTCAACATTTACTAATACATTTTAAGATGAAAAGTTGTATCTGTTAACATTAATTAATGCACTGAACTCATGTGAACATGAGCGTTTTAATTAAGTAACATAAAAAAATTAATGTAACTTTTAAGGCACAATAAAAAGTGTTAGTTCAATTTAAACAAATCAGACCTTATTGTATATTATTATTATTATTTAACTAATTGTATTAATTTCTAAAAGATTGCATGTTCTGTAGAAAATGTGAGTGTTGCTTTCCTATGCAAATCTTGCTGCCTTGATACTGTAAAGTTGTAAGTTAATGCGATTTAATATGTAATTGTATGGGATTTTTTTGCCTGTTTCATCATCGACCAAGTGAAACGTCTGATGTGAGCATAAGCAAGCACCACTAATTATTCAGACCTGTTAAATAGGCAGTTTTAATTTAATGCTCCATTTACTTGTGCACCTCTTCATTATTCAACGGTTTGATGGCTCAGTCCATCACGTCTCTGTTCAGATTATCACAAACATCAGCTCTCTTTAGATTCCCAAGATCATGTTGAGCCCTAATGGTTTGCATCCTCAATCTTTTAAATAGGCAAAGATCCAATCAATCTCTGTAGCTCTTGAGATTACTGCAGATTTGGATGGTATTCAGAAGATCAGAAAGAGCTGTGTTTCTGCAGCACATCCGGCCCTAGAAAAAAACCCTGCTCGTGGATCGTCTGTGACTCACCTCGATTTCTTTATCTTCAAATGTGTCCTGCAGCACTGACTTCACCTGGCTGAGGCTTTCAATGCTTCTGTGGATGAGCGAGCATCCCTGACACACGAACACACCCAGCGTCACGGACACCCAATCCGGCTCTGAGGAAGAAAGAAGGAAGGAAGAAGCTTTACAAATATGTGAGGCGCAATAACTGCATCCCAATTTGCATACTTAAATGAAGTATGAACTTGCGGGTGAAGGGAAAGAAACTCATCCTTTCAAGTGTGTAGCAAAAGAAATACTCCACTCTTGGGACATAATATTACACCATCACTCCCAAAATTTGAGTGATTTGAATTGCATATAAAATTTCCATGCATTTGGATTGCACAGGTTAAACATAAACTAACTCATTCTTTTTTTTTCACATTGCATTGATTATAATTGCATTTAAAAAGTCACCAGCAAATGATTTTTGTTCATTGGAAAATGATCAAATGCAAAATGATACTATGTTGCTTCTCGCATGTTTCGCAACACTTTCCAGTCACTTTGTCCAGTCACTGGACAAAGTGAAATGTCCAGTGAGTCGCACTAAAAGCATGTTCAGTTCAACTGAAACTGATGAACATGAATCTGGCAACATTTATTATGATGGTTGTTGTATGTTTTGCAGAGTTTAATGCTCTATCACGTTTGAAAAGAACGTAACTAAACCTGACCCTAAACCTAACCGATAGTGTAAATAAAAGCAAACGTGAGATAATAACACATGTGCTGTAGCAACCATGTCATGTTATCTTGCTTCTACAAGTCTCTGAGCTCTTTTATGGTGACTGGTGTTTGACGGACTCGTACCCGAGCGCTTCTCATCACAAGTGCAATGCTGCACCGGGTGCGCTACCGAGCAAGTTTACTACATCAGAAAAGACACACATGAGATGCAAACATCAAAATGTGTTAGTTTACAAATTATGCACTATGGTAAAAGTGTTATGAGCTCATAACATAGTATTGTGCACAAAAATCAGTCTTTATTAATCTGCCACTGTAATCATAATCTGTGTGAAAAGGAATAAAGGTTGTTGGTGTTTTACTGCCACTAGTGTTCATTTCAGCTGGGTACGTTTTTGGTAGAAAGTAACACATTTTTCCAATGAGCCTGGGATATATTAAACATGTCTTTATGTGCTCTATAGAAGAAGTCAAATGCATTTGAAACAGTGAATAAATGATGATAGAAATTTTATTTTTAAATTCATATGCAATATTAGTAAACTCAGAAATAGTGCATTATATGTGCACCCTCAGGCATTTTGCACTAATTCTATTCTTGCTTACTATTTCAGATAATATGCAAATTGGCACACAGCCAATAAAGTCATAGCTATACCATTTATTTTTACATGCATCTATAGACAGACCTCTTGCGGAGGCCAAAATACTGAACACTAACCGAGGAGAACTGCAGCAAAACCTCTTTAACAACTGGTTATGTCTGTGTGTTTCTATTCCCTTCACGGTTAAAGCTGAGGTCTAAGTGGTTTAAAAACTACATGCACACCACAGAGGTTACAACAATTAAACCTGTAAGTCTCAGATGAAATGTTCAATATAATACGAGGGCGACAGGAAGGTCTGTAATGTCACCTCCAGCTCACACATACACGCTCTCGCTGAACACATGCACAAACAGCTCACATTTGTGTCACGATCTCAGAGAAACTGTGAGTTTGAGACACTTCAGGTGCGAGTGTTGCTAAACGCTGGGAACTCCTTGAGTCGAGCAGCCTGAGGCTGGCAAATGGGAGTGTCGACTGTGACAAAACTGGCAGAAACAGAAAGTCAGGTTTTTTGACTTCAAGTGACGCAATCCATGAGAAACCGTGTCATACGAGTGTGTGTCTAACACTCAGTGTGTGAAAAAAACAAAAAAAAAACAGTGAGGTCATTGTTAGAAGGAGAAAGAGGGGCGATTGGAGAGAGCAGCAGAAAGGAAGAAAGAAGATAGAGAGGCTTGTGATCGAATGAAACGGACTTTGTTTTGCCTTTCACCCACTTTTAATTTGTATTCTTGACGGGTTATCTGCTGATCAAGGTGTGGCTCCGTCAGCGACCAGACTACACACCTTAAAACCAGCTGCCAATGTGACTGGTTACTCATATACTCATAAAGTTACCAGACTGTTTCACAGCTCGTTAAACACATTCGTGAGCACAATGCCACAGATTTGTTTACACTTAGTCTTAAAGGCACAGGGATCGAATTATTATTCACTGTCATTGTCTACACACTCTTACGTCATTCCAAACCTGTATGACGTTCTTTCGTCCGTGAAACTCAAAATGAGACATTTTGAAAAATGTGCTGCTGCTCTTTTCAATGCAGTTACACTTAAGCCTGAACGGACACAAAAGCACCATAAAAGTGCAAATACAACAACTTTATACACTATCTATACACTATAAAAGTGGTAACTGGACGTTGTTACTTTAAAGAGCTATTTCTACATGATTCAACAACCCACATTAAGTAGTTTTAGTGGTATAAATTTATGTATTTAGGTTGATTCAGCAATATTAGATCATATTTTTGACTTGAATAAAACCAGTTAATTTAGATGTTACCATTTTTAGATGTTACTGATTATTAACTGAAATAAAAAATGAAATATTCATGTTAACATATTAAAATTTTAACTTATTTTATTTCAGCTAGTTGGCATGCCAACATTTCCCATTTATTGTTATAGTGGTTGCACTTTATTTTACAGTACGTGTACTTATGTGTACTTACAATGTACATACCTAAGAAAGTACTGGGTAATATAAGGTGACTGCATTGGTTAAGGTTAGGTTTAGGGGAAGGTTCAGGGTTAGTACCTTGTTATTACCCAGTTATTGTAATCACTATAATAAGCACACAGTATTTACATGTGGAACAGGACTGTAAAATAAAGTGCTACCGTTATAGTTATCATTCTTGGTGTTTAAATCAGATTTGAGAATGAATCATACATAACACTTTTGTGAACCGGTCAACTGGATCGACAAAAACAACCAGACTGGAAATGATTCAAACTGGCCTGACTACCTTCAAATGTGGTTTGATTGCTCAGATCACAATACTTTACAATAAATATAAAGCATTTGTGCCCTGTTTGCAGTTGCGTGATCAGATCACAAGTGCAAAGTTGTGAATACTAGTGTAAACGGCGAGTGGATGATTTGCATGTGTGTGATGTGTCAGTCGTCTGTGTTTGTGTGTGTGTGTGTGTGTGTGTGTGTGTGTGTGTGTGTGTGTGTGTGTGTGTGTGTGTGTAATGTGTCAGTCGTGTGTGTGTGTGTGTGTGTGTGTGTGTGTGCGTCTGTGTGTGTGTGTGAATATAGGCAAAAAGTGTCTGTGCTGTGTGAGAGCAAGACAGAGATAGAGTCTAAATCAATTAAGTAATTAAGTCTAATCAACTAAGACTAAATCCAAGCTGAAATGATGCAACGGATTATAAATGATTCCCATGATGACATATTAACAGTCAAGTCAAAGTGATTTGTGCACATTGTTTCAAAGCAGCTTTACAGAAAATCATGATGTTAAAACGTATAATATCTTGATATTTTCATGCCTTACAGTAGCATTTAGCAGATTAGAGCTGGACGATAATATAGTCACATTTTGTAATGTTATAAACAATCAAGCAGTTGAGATTCGCAATATACTGTAGCATATATCACTTTATCTGAGTGTACTGTATATATGAGGAAATATCTATATATATATATCCAGATCAAATGAAAACAGAAAATTTAATTCAAAATATTAACAAAACCTGATCAGCGACACTCACGCTCATGCATCTTTCTTGTCTTCCATCATTCAACACATGCCTGCTTACACATATACAGCGAAAGTGTGGAAAACAGAAGTGTTGACGACGTGGTCTACTTTTGCTCTAACCCTGTTCACCCTGAATCATCTCAAGCGTCTATCGTGTGTTATTCGTGCCACATTCATTGGTCTGTCTCGCCTTGTTATACGCCGTGTAAAGCACCTGCAGTCGTAATACAGTCAGGAAATCCCAGAACTCTCTTGTGAGAGTCACCATATTATTAGAGTCTTAATAGGACGGTGTGTATGTAAGCGTTTGTGTGTGTGATACTGTACCGAAACGCTGCAATGCAGAGAAATAGTTACAGTATGATACTGTATTCTGAAGGAATTCACATTTTGTTGCCCAAACTCAGCAAACACACACTTGAAAAGATGCTGTGCAGGTAAAAGACCTGAGAATACAGCTGAGTCACCCACTCTCTGTGACACACACACACACACACTCTCTCACACACACACACACACACACACACACACACACACACACACACACTCTCTCACACACACTCTCTCACACACACACTCACACCCCTGACAACACCCCTCAAACCCACCACAAACTCATGTTTAACACCTCATGTGTGACTCATGTGTGCTGTGTGTCACCTAACCAACACGGTGTGTGTGCATGGGTTAGTATACAGTGCAGAAGCACCATATTATTATCATCACATCATGTGGAAACACACACACGTCTGCTCCTGAAACAAGAGCTCAGAGACAATCAAAGCTCTATGTTGTTTCCCTGCGAGGCACACTGATGACATGTGACTGGAGCATCATACGCAATGCTGAATCACATTAATGACACTGTAGAAGTCCCCCAAATGAAGACACAAACATGTGGTCACCGCTAAAGATTCCTGTCACTGTGTAACTAATAAACAACATTCATTTGGCATGAAATTACTTTGGAGCAGCTTACACGCGTTTATCGCTATGGCTATTAAAGTGTACATAGCAATTAATAATATAATTAAAAATCAATGTTTCATAAATCAGATTAAAATATGAAACATATTAAAGAATAATGATTTATATTATATTATTATATATAATATATACTATATATATTATAAATTACCATATTATACATATCTTATTTTAATTTTAATAATATAAAATAACATTACTATCCTTATTTAAATAAATAATTATATTTCATAGAATTTTAATATGAAGTGAACTATAATATATATATATATACATATATGTATAACATACATAATGCTAATTATTATATTATTGTAATTTATGCTATATATTAATATATTCTAAATTACTATATTGTATATATCATTTTTATTTAAAAAAATAACATAATATACTTACATTAAAAATGTAAGTATAAATAGCAAATATAAATTCAAATGAAATATTTCATAAATCCAATTAAAAACATGAACTATATAAAAATATAATGCTATTTATTATATATTATAACTTAACTTGCTATTTCATGTATATTTTATTTTTATTTTAATAATACAATGACATTACAAAATGCTTAATTAAAAATGTAATCATAAATAAAAAATATTAATAAAAAATATAAATATACTATAAAATGTCATAAATCTAATTAAAATAAATATAATAAAATCATATCATATAACATACTTTATATAAATAAATTTTCTTTTGATAATTAAAATTGTAATAAGAAATAAGAAATATAAATTAAAATAATATATAAACATAAATATGTTATTAATAGGATGAAATAAGTATTTAAATATATTACAATTATTTTATTATTAAAATATCACATTTTACATGCATCTCATAGCATGTGTAGCCTGAAGTGTCACGCGTGCTTTGGGCCTTTCGCAGCTGATGCGAGAGCGCGAGCGGCGCGATGCAGCACGGACAGGTGTCCAGGTGAGATGCTTTTACCTGCAGCGCCGCAGTCCGCGCACGTGTCGTTACCGGCTTGCTGCCGGAGATCGCGCAGGAGGCAGCTGTCCCGCTCGGCCTCTCTCGCCATGACTCGCCGGAGGCACGGATCGATTCGTCTCCGCGGTCGGCTGATCTATCGCGAGCAGGTTGATGAACGGAGCAGCGACGAACACGTTCAGATGACCGCAGGCGCGTGTAGCTATGAAGCCCGAGGCTGTGAGTCCACTTAGTGATGGGATAGCAATGGGTAAAAATATAGTCTTTGTCTTCGCGCTCAAGGTTCTGGCGGTGGAGAGAGAGAGAGATCCTTTTCTTTCACTCTAGAGAATTTATCAGCGTCTTATCGCCTCCCTCCCTTTATTCTGCCCACAAACCGGCTGGAGATACAGAGACCCCTAGCGGCGAGTTTCGGAATCACTCGAGTCAGAACGCTTAATTACACGCTGAAGAACGTCTGCTTGTCAAACATGTGGTCTGTTTTTTTTTTCTTTCATATTTTTCAACATATTTGATACTTTCAATTCATTTTCCCATCGGGATTTTAAAAACGTCTTCGTTTGGATGTTATAAGCCATGAACCAAGGGGCGCAAATCTGGTCTGACAGGTGGAGGGGAAATAGTCCGTTTTAGTACCATTTTAATATGCAATGGATTATCAAAATGAGAACAACACAAAGAACATCATATTTTCAGGAAATTGTTATTATTAACATAATTTAAGGAAAAAAAGTTATTGTTTTCATTGTTTTTGACTCATGTAACATTGCAATTTAATAAATGACAGGGGCCTGCGACCAAATGGTTGCATTTTGCGATCATTTTTTTCTGCCAGTGCGACAAATGTTTGCGAGCGCACGCACTGATGGTGCATTTTACTTTTGCAAATCGCTGCCATTTCTGTTGCATATGAGAAACATCAAAAGCATGACGAAACAGAAAAACAGATGTGAAAAAAACACATGTTTGAGTTATTTCACAATAAACAAATTGAAATTGTAGCCTGCATAGTTTGTGCAATTACATTTATTTAAATTGAACGTTACATTTCCTATTGATCACGTTCTATTCTGTAATGTTAATATGAATCATACACTGTCAGAATAAAAAGGTTGCATTTTATGCGTGCAACAGTCTGTCACTGGCAGTCCCTTATGGCAGAAATAGTCGAATGTTATTACATTATTAATTTCAGGGATTGTACAACCTTCTGAAAGAGACATTCAAGCACTTTGCAATGGCTTTCAAGCTTTTCACAAAACTATATACAGCACTTTAAAGCTCTAAAAATGATCCAATTTATTTAATGGGATCCCATTTTTAATGAGAGGACCAACATATACTTTGTGGTAAACAAACACTTCTGTAAAATAAAAAATAAAAATACTTCAAATTATCACTATAACCAGTAGATGGCAGCAGAGGAGCACTTATTGGTTTATTAGTCATTCATCTCTACTTTTTGCTTTATATTTTGAAATTATAAAATCTCTATTATAAAATATCTAATAATCAAGAAATAAAATTTTGTCAAATTTTGCACTTTTTGTGTATGAAGTAAGAAAAGTCACAAAGTGCCTTGAAAAACATTTTTTCTTCAATTTGCAACTGAATCACACAATTAACAATATTCTCAATATTATTATATTATTATGACGGTATTGTTAAAATGTGTTGGAATGTTCAAAAAGTACTCATACACACAATGAAATCATGAGTTTTATGTCAAAAACCAACAAACAACAAATAAAATTAGCAGCGCTATGCACTTTTTGTTTGCATAAACATTAAAATATTAATATTAAAAATTATGGCCAAACAAAAAAATCTAGGTTGGGTGACTTACAACATAACATGTTATCTACTAACAAGTACTGCATGCACAAATAAAGTTTTATGAAATGATAAACCTCACATTTAACTCATTTTTAAGAAAATGATCAAAATCATAAATTCTAGGCATTTTATCTGCTCCATAAACAATTTCACATAGACTGCCTTATTAGCCAAAGTGTTGAGATTTTTAGAATACACATTAGATTGTTTTCAATATACCAATTAAGATTTACAACAAAAATTGATCCGATTTTTGCATTGGTCTGAACAAAAAGGCAGACAAAACTGGATAAAACTTGATGGCTTTTATGAAGGAAAGAACGATAAAGTTGTTAATCGATTGTATATGCCTCTGTTGAATATTATTTAGTTTAACATCGGAATTTCTGATCAAAAACTACATTACCCATGAGTCTGTGAAAAATTTCCACCAATCAGGGAAAAGAACCGCATACTTCCATGAAGCATTGCAAGTGACAATGAATAAATACAAATGTATTGACTTAAAGATGATGATTATGTATTTATAAAAATATTTTAGGTTTGTTTATTTATTTAAGCAGTTTGAGAGATTGATGGGAGTGGGCCGTTCTTACAGAGCGATTTGCCTGTTTCTATGATGTGATTGGTGGAGATTTTGCAGGCTCATGGGTAATGTAGTTTTTCACCAGTAAATCCGCTGTTTAAAAATTATATTTGAAAATTTGAATTTGAAAAAAAAAACAGGTCTAACTTTAAAGGTTTATAAATTATTGATAAAAATAAATTCCTGCATGGAGAAAATGAATGGGACTTTTTCTTGTTTTGCAGACCTAGCGTGTTCATATTTGATAGCAACAAATATAAATAAATATGTCAGGTAAAGATATGGGATTGATTCTCACCTGCTGCCATTTCTGACTGTAGGCTGAGCACAGAAAATCACCTGACAAATGACCAAAGAACATCCATAAACACTCAAAAGTCAGAAATGCTCAAACAAATTCGTCCATTATGATGGACGTTTGAATTTAATAATTTAAAATTAAAAAACATTTTGCACAATAAACCATAAAATATATAATTGTTTTATAGGTTTTTTTTTGTCTGATTTCATTCGCAATAAACTATTAAATATATTTAATATATAATTAAATATATAATATAATAAATATATTAAATATATATTAAATATATAATTGATTTACAGTTTTTGTCCAATTTGATGCACAATAAACCATAAAATATATTAAATATATAATTGATTTATAGTTTTTTTTGTCTGATTTCATTCGCAATAAACTATTAAATATATAATTGATTTATAGTTTTTTTGTCTGATTTCATTTGCAATAAACTTTTAAATATATAATTGATTTACAGTTTTTGTCTAATTTTTTTTTGCACAATAAACCATAAAATATATAATTGATTTATAGTTTTTTTGTCGAATTTGTTGCACAATAAACCATAAAATATATAAATCATTTAGTTTTTGTCCAGTTTGACACAATACACTATAAAATATTTAATTTCTGCAAAACTATTAACATATTGTTGCCACCACATAAAACTTTTGTGTGTATCCAGTAATTTCAGGAAACTAGTCGATGATTCTATGAAACAAAACCTCTGGACTGTATAAATGAGGCTTTTCGATTGTCACTCAAAATCAAATTCACATTGAAGTATATTCATGGCTTTGATTCAAGCTTTAGCTTTTGAAGTTTGCAGCGCTGATGGTCAGAGCTCTCGATAAGCTTGCATTGTATTCATGCATCAGACTGAATGAGTTTGTGCATGAATCAGCATGAGTTTGTGGATGGACCTGTCTGTCTGTCTGGATGACGAAGAGGAGTTTCCTCCGGTTAGCTTTCAGAACAGCTGAAGAGTCTCCAAACACCTTTCACTTTAGTCAGGCTTCACTGCCGTCGGATGGCATCTTTGAGGGACGCGGATCGCTGCGTGAGCTGAGGGGCGTTGTTAGGCACGAAGCGGAGTGACTAAAACCCCCTTAGCTGTTATAAAATCACTGTAAACCACGGCTTCACGGGGCTTATTTACGGGGGTTATTCCATATACGTAGCAAGGTTTCACAGAATAAAACAGAGCAAATAAAGTGTAATGATATTAATAAAAACAGTATTCTTCCACCAAACAATGTAGCTCCTCAGAAACAGTTGTGGTTGCAACAAAGTGGTTGCCGAGCAACACACAGAAGTAAACGAAGGTGTATGTTACTTTGTAGAGTCATTTACAACAGCTTTGAACGCGGCTCAGCCAATCAGAATCAAGCACCGGAACTATCAGTTTTATAAATAACGGGCTGGATGTAGATTGAGGGATTCAGGGTCACCAGCTCAGGCGAACCTTGAACTAGAGCAACTCATAGATGTGCGTTTAATTCATTTGCCAATTCTAACTACGACTGTGAACTCATATTTTGGCTATGTGGCTAACATGCTTGCTATATTAATATGAAGAACAACTATTGTGAACAAGATGACTGAACTGATTTTTTAGCCCAATGAGTGAAAACAAGTCAAAACAAGCTCAGATTTTGAAATTCATTGTTTGCAATTTGTGTAAATAAGCAGTTTATAAGTACAGTATGAGCAGCAGACCTTTACAATAAAAGCTGTACCTCCATGTCGATACATTTTAGTGTTGACCAGATTAAATCTATTCGTTTTTAGGATTTAAATGTGCATAGGAAAACTACATGCATTAATGTGTCCTTTACACTGTTGCTGATTTGAATATGGGACCGTAACCTAATAAAATAAAGTTGCCGAAATGAAAACTAACTGTTTGCATGTTTGTGCTTTGGATGATGTGCTGAAAATATAGAAACTGAACATTTAAACACATGATTCACACAAGTTATTTGAATTATTTATAATAAAGAGACCATCAATTGAAGCGAGACTATAGTAAACAGGTAAAACCATGTCTGCTTAGTTATGATTTCTGTAAAACCATTTTGTTGTGAAATCACTTCTTTTCACAAGAGCAACTAGATGAATGATTTTCCATGACCGCAAACATAGTAAGCTCCCTACATAGACAGTATCTTCACACACTCTCTAGAGCTGCATCCCAAATGACGCACTATACACTATGTACTTATACACTATGCACTTAAGCACTATCTACTTATACACTATGCACTTATGCACAATCTACTTATACACTATGCACCTGTACACAATGCACTTATACACTATGTACTTATACACTCCACCTATACACTATGCACTTAAGCACTATCTACTTATACACTATGCACCTGTACACAATGCACTTATGCACTATCTACTTATACACTATGCACTTATTCAATATGCTCTTATACACTATGCAATTATGCACTATGGTCTTATGCACTATGCACTATGCTCTTATACACTTATGCACTATGCTCTTATACACTATGCACTTATGCACTATGGTCTTATACTGTATAAGACCATAGTGCATAGTGTATAAGTTATACACAATGCACTTATGCACTATGATGCTCTTATACACTACGCACTTATGCACTATGCTCTTACACACTATGCACTTATGCATTATGCTCTTATACACTACGCACTTATGCACTATGCTCTTATACACTATGCACTATGCTCTTATACACTATGCACTTATGCACTATGCTCTTATACACTATGCACTATGGTCTTATACACTATGCACTTATGCACTATGCTCTTATACACTATGCACTATGGTCTTATGCTCTTATCTATACACAATGTACTTATACACTATGTACTTATACACTGCACCTATACACAATACACTTATGCACTATGCTCTTATACACTATGCACTTATGCACTATGCTCTTATACACTATGCACTTATGCACTATGGTCTTATACTGTATAAGACCATAGTGCATAGTGTATAAGTTATACACAATGCACTTATGCACTATGCTCTTATATACTATGCACTTATGCACTATGGTCTTATACACTATGCACTTATACACTGTGCACTTATACACTATGTACTCAGCCATGTAGTGTATGAATTATATAAGTTTATTTTGTCATTCATAACCTCCCCCTTAGCTACGTAATTAAAGCTGCAACAGTTGAGTGGATTTAGTGTCCAACATTCCACACTTTATTTTTTCGGTTATTTGAGTGCACTTTTTCTTTTTGGAATTTTCAGTGTGAACGCACAACTCGCACTATTAATACTACAAAGCATCATAGTAGACAGTATCTTCACACACTCTCTAGAGCTGCATCCCAAATGACGCACTATACACTATGTACTTACACACTATGCACTTATGCACAATCTACTTATACACTATGCACTATCTACTTATACACTATGCACTTATGCACAATCTACTTATAAACTATGCACTTAAGCACTATCTACTTATACACTATGCACTTATGCACAATCTACTTATAAACTATGCACACTATCTACTTATACACTATGCACTTATGCACAATCTACTTATAAACTATGCACTTAAGCACTATCTACTTATACACTATGCACCTATACACAATGTACTTATACACTGCACCTATACACAATGCACTCATAGAATAGTGCATAAGTACGCGATTTGGGACGCGCCCCCAGGCGTCACAGCGCTGGATTTGTGACGCAGCCGGCGCGTCGCGGCCGCAGTGCATGCTAGGATATGGCGAGCGCACTCAGCTCCTCCCCACGTGTTTGAGCGACTGCAGCGCTGCGAGCAGCATCATCTCATGCAGACTCTCACAGACAGACTCAGAGATCCTCACACCGAGCAGCGGGAGAACATCACGGCAACAGCGCTGAGCTTGGAGCGCGAGCGTCAGATCAGATCTCCGCTGCAGTGATTTAGTGGACCGGCGAGGCCTCGGTGAGTGTGTGTCAGTTGTGTTCACAACATGCTGGCGGTCACAATGTTGCACCAAAAGTTTCATACGTATAAAAACATGTCTATAATCGCATACGGATCGCTAATGAAATGAGTTTGCAAGCTGCTAACTCATCTTAGCATGCTGTTCCGTTTGCGGACTCCGGCAGAGTCCCTTCATCTGTGCTTCAGTTCAACATCTTTACTTTTACTAGTGTTTCATTGTGATCGTGTGTGTTATAAAGTTGCTAGCTGATCGTGTTGCATCAGTCACTAAACATGAGTCGCCTGGTAAATATCAGGACAATTAGTGATTGATTGACAGTTACAAATCATAAGGGTCAATTTTTCGAAATTGAGATTAATACATCATCTGAAAGCTGAATAAATAATCTTTCCATTGATGTATGGTTTGTTAGGATAGAACAATATTTGGCTGAGATACAACTATTTGAAAATCTGGAATCTGAGGGTGCAAAAAAATCTAAATATTGAGAAAATCATCTTTAAAGTTGTCCAAATGAAGTTCTTAGCAATGCATATTACTAATCAAAAATGAAGTTTTGATATATTTACGGTAGGAAATTTACAAAATATCTTCATGGAACATGATCTTTACTTAATATCCTAATGATTTTTGGCATAAAAGAAAAATGTATAATTTTGACCCATACAATGTATTGTTGGCTATTGCTACAAATATACCCCAGCGACTTAACACTGCTTTTGTGCTGCAGGGTCACATACATATATATATGTGTGTGTGTGTGTGTGTTTGCAGGTTTGAAATCCACTAGCGGCGGTTCCTCCGGTCTTCATTATGGCCAGCGGAGATGATGACGATCCAATTATACAAGAGGTAGACGTGAACATGCTGGACTTGTATTGTGTTGTTTCTAGCATCTGTATCGTTCATGCTCTCTCTATTGATAGATTGACGTGTATCTGGCCAGAAGTCTTGTGGAAAAGCTGTATTTGTTCCAGGTAAGAGTGACAGATAATATTCATGCAGGAGAAGGTTAGAGTTGTTATTTTTGAAATGCTGTTTAGTGACAGCCAATGAGATGTTCAAAGTTCAGGGTCAGTAAGATTTTTAAGTCTCTTCTGCTCAGCAAGGCTGCATTTATTTGATCAAAAATACAGTCAGTCGTGCTGCACAATATTTCTGTGATGTATTTTATTTTTCAGGATTCACAGATGAACAGAAAGTTCAAAACAACAGCATTTATTTGAATCTTTTGAAACATCATAAATGTCTTTACTGGCATTTTGATCAATTTAATGCAGCCTTAATCTTTAAATATCAGCCTGTCTGTCACTAGTTGCATAACTGTAGTCCCTGTTGTTCATGTTTTTAACCTCTTCTTCTCCAGTACCCAGTGCGTCCTGCTTCTATGAGCTATGATAATGCGGCGCATTTGGCAGCCAGAATTAAACCCAAGCAGCAGAAAGTAAGCAGGCTTTCACTGCTCGTTTCTGACGTTTCTCCTATCAGACCGCACAGAGGTCACGTTTCGTTCCTGTCTACTTCCAGGTTGAGCTCGAGGTGGCCATGGACACCATGAGTCCGAACTACTGCCGCAGTAAAGGCGAGCAGATCGCGCTCAATGTGGACGGCACGTCTTCGGAGGACCCCAGCGTCTACTCGATGTGAGGAACATCAGCCTTTCTGCTGCTTACAGCCGGACTTTGCTGTTCGTAGTTTTAATCCTTTCCTTCTGCTTAAAGGAAAATGATGGACAAGCAAACGTTCTCCTCGATCCAGGCGACCACGAACACGTCCCGCTTCGCTGCGGCTGTGTTTCACAAAGGTTGGCTTTCGCAGGATCTCAATTAGCATGTGTTTGGCTGGGCGGTATATCGAGTTTGTACGATATATCGATGTTTTCTTTATAAGCGATTCGATATGAGGCGATACCGTTTACAGTAGTTTGATACGAGCGCATCGGGACACAGACTGAGTTGCTGCGGAGAAAGTGCATGATCCAGTTTGTTCTAAACATGTGACAAGCTTCATATTAAGGGCCTTTAAAAACTGGTAAGACTTAGTTTATAGTTTCGTTTCGCATATTAGTTTATTAGTCATATGCTCTGACAGAAAGGCTACTCGCGCTGTTTAATGTGTTTGAGAGATGTGCTGTCTTCCTGAATGCAGAACTTACATTTCACAGGTATATTCTCCGTCTGTAAATGTTAGAAATATTTCCATCTGTCAGGAGTGCATGAGCCTATTCTCCGCTAAACTTCACAGACTTCAGTGAAACAGACAGAGCTCGATTAAATAGGAGCGCAATAATTCTGACTAAAATATACATTTCGTTGAAATATTTGAAGAGTTCATTTGCAAAAACCGATAAACGCCACTTTAAAAAAATAAAAAAAGAGCTGATTGTCGTGCATTATTCTCCACATACAGCGCGATCTGAACCCTAAACACGTTTCGTCAAAAAAGCCGGTTTTGTCCACTTTCAAGGCATCGAGTTCACGTTTTACTGCAGAAAATAATAATAATAATAATTGTGTTATCGGTTTTTGCAAATGAACTCTTCATTTGTAGTTGGACAATAAATGTGACATGTAGAATTTTAAACCTACAAGCAAGTGTATTTTTATGATAGCACTGACTAAAATGACTATAAAGGAATAAACTAAATAGCTTTACTCAACTCATT